ATCTGTATTCAATTTCGACAAGATAATTGTTTCATTGCTATTAAGACCATTTTAAATGATTTATTTCCATTTAACCACATTATTGCGCAATTAAATTTATAATTTTTAAGCGTTTATTCTACTAACTAAATAAAAACTTAGTTCTCTTGAACGCTTTCTCGGTAAACTTGCATTGCTTTCACCACTTATAGACTTCCCCAGCAGTGAAACAATTTTACAGGAAATCTGAAGAAACGGAAAATACGTAAAGCGTTAATTTTAATATATTTTTGAGTTGTTGTTTTTGGTAATACCAGTAAAAGGGTATCATTCATTTATTTGTTACGGTAACAATATATATGTATAAAGGAAACAATCATGTACAAAATAGCAATTATCATCTCATAGTAAAAAACAAAGAAAACAAACGTAGTTTAGAAAAATAATAAAAGAATTAACATTATAATAACACTCATATTTAACGACTGTACAAATCTTTTAGGTATCTTAGTTTGAAAGTTCTGTTTAGAATATGTTAATAATAACTCTTAATTAATTTTTTAAAAAATCTTCTATTTTTACAAGTTAGAATTTATTAAGAGCTGTTTAATAAATAATTTTTAAATACCTTTATCTGTGGAACTTTTATAATTTTTTGCAAAAATTTTTTTAATTATAATTTTGTCTAGGAATTTTCTTTTAAAAATTATCCCGAATGCTGCATCATTTTATTTCTTTGAATCCACTCAAATTTTTTTTATAAATTATTCATTAATAATTAAATGTTTTTCGTAATTAAAATATTTTAGCTGTCCTAAAATCGTTTTCCTTTATTACTTTCGCTTTTAAATTAATCATATCATATCATAAAAATAATTAAATTTGCTTCTTTAAGTAAAAATTATTAAGCAAATTTTTTTGAAGAATTATTTTCATTTTCAATCTTTCGTTAAAGAAAAGAAAAAAGAAAATTGCGAAAAGAAAAGAATTAATTAACTTTCCCTGTAAATAAGTGGACGTCAAAGAAAAGTCGCTCCTTCATTAAATGCCCCATTGCCGCCGTCGAATAGCTTAACGACTCTTCTTCTAATAGAAATTCGCTACTCGTCTGACTCCTAAAATTTTCATCGCTATGGCAAATAATTAATTGAGAAGGTTTCCCTTTAAAACTTTTTTTACGAAAAATATATAATTAAAAATAGTCGAGAAATTCCTAAAGAAAAGAGCAAATTCGAATGCAAAAACAATTTGCGAGCAGACGATCGTCGATCAAAGTTTACTCTCGTTAATGACTTAATTACAGTCCGTGGAGTGGCAGTAATTTTATTTATAGCGCGAGTAACGCCATCTGCCGACTGGTGCAGTGTCGCTTCCAAACACCGCCTTAGGGCTCGCACCTTATGTGTGTTTGAAGTTGTAGTCTTTTTTCTTCTTATTATTGTTATTATTCTTTCTCTAGGCGAATATCTCCATTAAGTGACTCTTTATCGATAAACGATCAACATAAACTTTAGTGGGCGACTGTCAGATCGTTAAATAAATGAAAATGGTAGTAAAAATGGAAAAGAAATCGACAGGGTACTGCCACTCGATTATTTAATCGTAATTGAAACAATCGTTTGCTGATGAATTGTTCCACCATTTCTGCTGCGTCATTAGTGTGTCGTGGGAAATGGCTCTACGGGCTATCAATGAAAAGTTCCCATTCTGTGCTTTCGATAAATTATGATAATTCTCTCGCGTGCTTTCTTAATGAGGGATATGCAAATGAAGTTCACTTTCTTCGTTCGGCTCGTGATAAGTTAACATTAAGAACTGGGAGAAAATTGAAAGTGACACGAAATTTCTTTCTTTAGAGTACAGAGTATGCACTTTTCTGGAATGAGAAAGGAAGTTAATTCGTAAGGGCACGAACTTTATGTTTCCAAACTGATTTTCATTTCTATAAAAAAAAGTAGCAATTTGCATGAATGAAGATTCTGTTTCTATTACAAAAAATGGGGTAATCAATTACTTGTTTCCAATACTGTCGAGCGCTATTAGGGAAATAGTGAATAACTTTTTATCAACATTTGCTTTATTACTATTTTTGGCTTAGTAGTTCAAGTTGCAATATTTCGATTGTAAATATTTGCGTTTTCTATCATAATTGGGAAAATATACTAATATTAACTGAAATAGGTTATTACTAAAATAAAATAGAATTTTTTTTTTTCAAAACACATCAACATTTATGCGCAATGTTTGTTTAAGAAAATAAACTTCCTTACAGCTCTTATAATTGCGTATGCATTTTTTTGATTCTCATTAATTGAAGTTTTAACCAATTTTCGACCTGCTACAGCAATTGCAATTGTAACTAATGACAGTACGAGTTATACGATTTTTATTTTAATATTACATACAAAATTTGTGTCCCTATTATTGCAAATTGAAATAATAACTTCTCTCCGATATAGACAAACTAAGACACGAAACTAAAAATAAAGCTATTGAATAAAAGCTTTAAAAACTCGTTTTTCACGTGGCCTAGGAAAAAGAAAAAATAGTTTCAATTTTGTCACACTTAAAATGAAAAACGTAGTTCTTTCACAATAAACTTTTATCACCACCAAGAGTTCTACCTACGTTTTTTGAAAGTGATGCTCTCTATTTTTTATCGTTTTAGGTGCGACAAAAATAGAATTATTTTCTGCCTTTTAGTTCCAGTTTTTTAAACTTTATTCATAATTTTTGAGTTCTTAATTACCTATTTATGACTTTTGAATTTTTATATACAGTTTTTAGTTTTCAAGTTCGATGTAAAGCAAGATCAGTGGGAGGCCCTTAGGAATTTTTCTTTCAATTTAAATATTAAGTTGGAAGTGGGATTAGTCCAATTCGAATATAGGTGTGGAATATAACACCTTTAAAATAAATGAAGAAAACCAATAAAGTAATCTCTAAAAATTAGTTTTCGCGTAAAAAAAATGTTTTGTGTGGTTGAATGTCATAAATACGGGCATTATCAAATTCGTTTGATGGAAATTGTAATTATTTTGCAAATTCGAATAATTTACAAATCATGCTATTTCCTAAAAAATAATTTCAATTTCAGACGAAATTAATTAGAGAGGTCCTTCTCTCGACCGAATTCAACAGTCGAAGGGATGGCGAAGGGGAGGAAAAATTCTAAACATGTTTTTAATCCTTTTAATTTACTTTTCACAAATAAATTGCTGATAGATATTTATTCTACTTAGCACTCTCTTTTGATGCATGCAAAATAAAAGGCCATCACCCAATCAGAATATGAGATATGAAGGGTGCAGTATTATAGATTCTATATTAGTTTTTTCTCACAAAATTATGCGAATACAATTCGGAAAGATATTTAAAATGCAAATATGTATTAGATTTTAGATTTTCGATAAGTATATTTCTTTTTACACAATTACCGCTAAAGGAAATTTTTTAGTGTCATCCCATTTGGTTTTCACCAATTTAAACTGTAATAAGATTAGTTTTTAAAAATGAAACCGAACATGTATAGTTTTAAATTACTTATAGAAAACCACAAATAGCATCATTTTTTTTGCAAAGAGTTGACGAGATTTTGAGGAAAAATTCATTAAAAAAAAAGTTCTAAAAGCTATCAAGCGATATTTATCCAATTTTAATAAAGCTCTTTATTTTCTGCCTTTTTTGAGAGATGTCTAATAATACTACATTATCAAAAGTTTGTTAAGTACAGAAAAATGTAGAGAAAACACAAATTAAAGCTTAACCTAGAATCTAAGATGGCGTGGATAGAAGCTTCTTAAATTGTAAGCGTGAAACCTTAAAGATTGCAAATTAGTCCGTAATTTTTTTTCTTGCTGGCAACACATTCAAGAAATTTACAAGAAAGATATTTCAATACTAATATGCAATGTAATTTTGCAGAAATTTTACAAATACATGTAATAACACTTTTGTGTTAACACTTAAGTTGAGATTAAAAAAATGTGATACTGAAGATTAAATATTTAATTTTTAACACTTTAAAAGTTCAATTTTTAACATCTCATCTAGGAATCCGAAAACTATGACTCGCAATACTCTGCGTCGATGGCTTAGAAATTCTAGTAATATAACTTAATCTGATTTTTTTCAATATGCAAATATAAAAAATAAAAATAATTAAACACAGATTTTTAAAATGCTACATTCTAAAAGTATTTTAATTAGAGCTAATAATAGTTACAAAAAACGTTTATAAATTAATTTAAGGTATACTGTTAGAAATTTCCCGGAAAAAATATTTCAATTATTTATTTAATTGCTATTTTACCATATTCTAACAAAACAGTCAAATAACCTCAAATAAAATGGTATTCAAACAGTTAGTTGTAGAAAAAAACCCGTTTATTAACGGTCTTCACCAAATACGGTAAAACAACCAGAATTTTATGGCACCAACTAGGCCCACCTAATGAAGCCACTTAATTCCCTGCAGATGGGTACATATTATAGTCGAGAGGGCAAATGTGTCAATATCATGACCGACAAAACAAGGCTTCGAGTGCCAGAGCTGACGCCATAATATTTCCTCGATTACGTTCAACGCATGAAGACTTTCAATTTGTGACCCTGGACTATTATAATACAATACTCTCAGTCTTGTATAGATGACAGCACGATAAAGCTTCCAAACTATCTCCAATGTCAAGTTGAATTTCTTTTTTACGGTTTTGAAAACTTGCTACTTGTAAGTGGTTAAGAAACCGTTTAGTTTTGTAACCATACCAGTTGTAAACGGTTTCAAAACCGTAAAGGTAAAAAATATTCTTTAACGTAAAATTTGCGGTTAATTAAACTGTTGCCAGTTATTGTGAAAGACTTCCGCCAGTTATTTTTATCATAATTTTAGAATGAAAATTCTAACAGTGTAGTGGATAACTTGCGAAATTTTTTTTTAAATACTTAAATTTATCTTTATTCATCATTCATTTTTTGCAATGATTTGTTGTGTGATCATTTGTTTATTTTTTTCTCTCCAGCTTCTCCTACTCCAAATGGCATATCATCGGAAGAAAGAGAGAGGAGGAGAACTCAAGAGGAGGATGAAGACGAAGAGGAAAAAAGGAGAAGGACGCGAACTAACTTCAACGGATGGCAGCTGGAGGAATTAGAGAAAGCTTTTGAAGCGTCTCACTATCCTGATGTTTTTATGAGAGAGGCTTTGGCCTCGAGACTCGATCTTGTCGAATCTCGGGTTCAGGTAAGACTAGTTTAATATTTGAATACGCTACAAAAATATTTATAATTCAACAGTCACTATGACAACTGAAAGTTTATTCTCGTATTATTAGCAGTGATGCATGTACTTGTATAACATACACAGAGTGATTTCAACTAATGGTAGACAAAGTAGTTGTCCTCTTTTGGTGGAGTATTTTAATATGATAAAATAATTAAAAAATTCTTAAGTCCTTTCAAAATCTTACAGATTTCGAATGCATGGGTGACAGACGAATATTTTTAAACTTATTATAATTATTTTTTTATAATTTTCATTTCATTTTTCTCCTTTTAAAATTATTTAAGAACCTGCTCTTTTGCCCACAATGCACCACGGCTAACAGAAATTAATTTATTTTTAACAATAAAAAGATTTTGTTTGGCTAGTATCTCTACTCCAAACTAAATAAATAAATAAATAAATAAATAAATAAATACAAATGCAGTTAACCATAATTTTAAATTGAAACAAGTTAGTTTTTATCTTAATTCAAAACCTTTTCACCTCCTCTAGGCAAACAAAAGGCTTCATGAATGCGGTGAGATAGGGAAACATCACTGTTATTGGTTTAAAGTTTCTTACCTCAAAATGAGAGAAGTGGTGTTGTCCTACTATTTAAATAAAACTTTCATGTATTCACAAAGTAATTACTGCTGAAATTATTGGCATCTTGTAGTGCGACATCTCGGATCGTAAAAGTACTATCGTTATTTAATTTTTTTTTTAAAAATTCATTACTGATACAACGTTTTTTATTCTTACAATTAGAAAGCATATTTGGTCCACATTGATACTACTATTATCCAGGAACAGAAGGTGAAACAAAATCAGTAAAAAGTATTTGAAACTATAAACTATTCAAATAAATTATTTAAAAATACTTTCTCGTCGATGAGAATATGTTTTGGAACCAATTTCATATTTTTTTCTAGTATTTTACAAGTATTTGTGTGACTGATTTGATTCCTTGTTATTTCATTTTTTTGCAACGTATAAATCTGAATCCGGCGAAGAATTTTGAGGTCAAGAAAAATAGGGAAAGTGCCGAAAATTAGTCATTTACCTAGCTATTATACTTGCCTCAACATATGCTTGTGATATTTCTTTTTCAAAAATTAAATTTTTGAAGAACAACTCTTGTTCTTGTAGAAAATGAGCCATTTACCTGTTTATTAAATTTGCCTCATTATATGCTTGCAACATTTCTTTTTCAAAATTTAATTTTTTGATGGATAAATATTGCGCTTGTAAAAAATTTGCCATTTATTTGACTATTATACTTGCCTCCACATATGTTTGAGACATTTCGTTTTCAAAAATAAATTTTTAAAAAACAAATATTGCTTTTGTAAAAAATTAGCCATTTACTTGGCTATTATACTTACCTTCACGTATGCTTGTGACCTTTCCTTTTCGAAAATTAATTTTTTGAAGAACAGCTATTGTTCCTGTAAAAAATTAGCCATTTACTTGACTATTATACTTGCCTCTACATATGCTTGTGGCAATTTATTTTCAAAAAATAATTTTGAAAAATAAAATATTGCTCTTGTGAAAATCTAGCCATTTACCTGTCTATTACGCTTGCCTCCACATTTGATTGTGACATTTCATTTCCAAAAATGTTTACAGAAGAATTAGAATTGTTCTTGTAAAAAACTAGCCATTTACCTGGCTATTATGCTTGCCTTCACATATGCTTGCGACATTTCCTTTTCAAAAATAAGGTTTCTGAAAGACAAATATTGCTCAAGATTTCTTTCATTTTTATTTGTTTTTTATTTTTTAAATTTTCCTTCATTTTTATTTTTGTTGGCATAATCTCAACGGTAGTCAGCTGTTTAGTGCAAATATCGAATAAGGGAGAGAATTACAGTATTATTTGTTCTTGTGAAACATCTGTTAATTGATAACAATAAGAAACTGTAAGAAATCGTAAAATTCCAAGCAATCAAACTATTGGTAAGATTCTTTAGATACCTAAATTTTGATGTAAAATTACAATTTTAACAAACAAGATTATTTTAAATTTTAAAAATTATTGTTTTCGGTTGATAAATTAAAAGTTTTATTAATTCGAAAAATTTCGAATCAAAATATGTAAAATCAAATATATGAATGGAAAAATTCTTGTAAACCCTAACCATATGAGCGGAAACATTACGAAATTAATGGTTTAAATAAGTAGATTTTAGTTTCATTAACCAAAATTACGTGTTCTTTTTCTTTTACTAAAAATGCCATTACCCTACAACTGTAATTTTGCCCGAACTTTTTTTTTTCGTTTCGAAACTAACTAAAACTGAAATTAAATTACTTTGTACTGCCAAATTCACGTGCCCCAGCTAGACGGTAGAAAAAATTAGTTAGCATATTATTTAAAAGTATAGAAGGTGTTAAGATTGGAAGAGGGGTTGAAGAATTAGAATATTTAAATGCAGTTGTGCTGTACTTAGTTACCATTAAAGTTTATATGTTGTAGAAGATAATTTTGAAAGGTAATTGAGATGGTAGCCAAAGGCGACTAGTGATAGTAATAAACCCGGTAATTTTGTAAACGTTTAGAGGAAACAGATGTATACAGTTCAACCATTGACTAACAAATAAGCAATTTTGGGGTCTGATTTCTGTTCCGAAACTCCCATTAGTTAAATGGAGAAGGAAAAAAAAATAGTAACTAATAAAAATATCCCATTGCATTACAAAAAGAAAAACTCGGAAAATTTTTAAATGATATTGCCAGATCCTTCCAACAAAAAAGTTTTGCAGCAAATTATCGCTAATGTGTGTCATCCCTCTGCAGTTGATGTAAATTGTCACCTGCTGGTGTTTCATTCAGAGCAACGCTCACAGGAAGCGTCAGCCATTAAGCGTTCCATCGGCAGTCATGATGTGCTAGAAGGTACAATCATTTATCTTGAGTACACCAATTATCGTCAGTGGTTGATTTTCATCGATGTCTATTATCATAACCAGATAGGCCCATTTAAACAACGGCTCTCTCATTCAGCAACCACCTTAAGTACACAGCTCGACCTATTGAGGGGGGGGGGATATAAAGTCTCCCCACCCCAATTCTTGTCATCTTTTCCTGATGAACCGTGGAACCAAATGTATTTTGACGTAATTTTTCTAGTAATCAAATATAAATAAATTTTTTTTTTAAAGTTTATGACTAGCTTTTCATTCGAAAAGCCAAAGTTTTTGAAAAGGTATAGAATTTTCCTGATATAGGATTTTATGACTAACAAGATGATTATTTGATTAAAAAAGCTCCTCCGCTGCGAGAATATACAGATTGGAAATAACAGACGACCTGCTTCAAAAAAAGACGTCCATTATCAAGACTTGCCAGATGTGAATGCGAACAAAAATGATTTGAAATATAAAACGTAAAGTTGCCGACGAAAAATGGAAAATAAAGGTGTAAAACAAAACTAGGAAAACCACAGTAGCAGAGAGAGAAAAAGGTGAAAAACAGAATAAGAGAAATCACAGTTTCCGAGAGACTCATATCAGAATGAAATGCAATCCTGCTCACAGTGAAGAGGTGGCAAGGAACTAACATTATTAATAAGGGAATCAGCATTGATATGAATAAAACAAGATTCCTAGGCATCAAGATGAGCTGATGTGATTGCAGTGGAAATAATTTTGTCATTTTCAAAATAGAATTTATGCTCTAAATTCCAATAATGTGCAGCAATTGATGATTTCTCGTATTCTTGATAACGTACATATCTATTGTATTCCTTAAATTTCCAAGATTGATTATCTTAACGTCCTTACAATGATTCTAAACGTCAATATAATGACTTTAAACGTTAATATAATGACTTTAAACGTGAACATAATGACCATAAATGCCCTTATAATGATCATTAGATATTTTTTTCAACTTAAAAATTCCTGAAAAGCTTTAAAATGCGTGGGGAAAACTAGATTTTGAAACAGCGAGAACTAGCTTTTAAATGAAAATGATTGTAATAATAATTGATTCAAAGTCATAAGTGTAAACATTATTTATTTCCTAAAACTTCATTTGATTGTATTTTAATTTATAAAAAGTGTGTGGGGTATTATGATTGTTCAATATCAATGTTAAAATAATCAGAAAATACGATCATATTTGACGCAAAAATACTTTTTGTGTATAAGAAATTGTGAAAGTTTCAATTAGAAAAACTGACATAAAGAAAATTTATATACTTACATGGAAAATTTATAAAAATGTTTTAAATTTAGTAAAACTAATAAACATTATTTATTTCATACAATAAGTTATATTCGATGTAATTTTTAAACATTTTACATAAAATAAGTGCTTAAAATAAAATACATGATTTTTTTAAAAAGACAATTCTAGAAAGTTTTTAAAAAGAGTAAAAAAAATCAAATCGCGTAAAAATACATCTTCGTTTTAATTTAGTTAAGTAATATTTAATTCTTAATTTTTTTAATAACCTTAATATTTATTTTCATAATTTGAGTCATCTAAAAAAATTTCAATTTTTGAATGACAAAACGTCAACGCAAAAAAAGTAAACATGAAAGTTCTGAAATATTAACTACTTTTTTTTGTTGATTTTTAAATATTGGCAGCCTGAAAAACTAAGTTAAAAATTGCTCTCTAATTTAACTGCACTTACAAACCACAAATATTGTACAATGCGCAAGGAATTTAAAAACGAAAAAAAGAACAACCTGAATGATTTTTGATCTAATTTGTGGAGCTTCACGTTCTAGAACTTAATCTTAAAGGCTAGGGGGTGTGATTTTAAATATGCTAATTCATTAGTGTTGATGATATTTTAAGTCACGAAATCAGACACAGAACGTACCTTCTTTGAATAAACATACCTTTCTTTCGACAGGATCGGGTTCTTCACCTTCAGAATATAGGGGGTAGCCGCAATCTGGGAAATATGGTTCTAGTAATTTGATCAGGATCAGGAGAGCTGTCGAAAGTTTGGACCCCT